TACTGAGTAGGTTTAGGTATTAGGCTGAGTTTAAAGAAAAGAGGAGCTAAAACTTCTTGTCAGACAGCGGGTATACTGACGGAGCCAGTGTAACGTAAAATAGTATTTTTTTGAACTGTGAACCATGCTTCTCAAATGTGGTTCGAGAATAAAAAAGCTACAGTAAGAAATGAGCATAATGGGTCCCTTTACACACAGTGTTCCCAAACACCAGTCAGTTTAACAAGCAGAGGATGAACTGCAGGCAGGTTTACCGGGATAAATACTGCATCTATTGAGTATAAGGTGTGCAGCTCCACACTAAAGCCTATATCTGCCGATTGTTATAGCTGACTGCGTGCATGAGTGATAAAAGAGAGAAAACACAGGCTGTCAGATAGTCACTGGTGGAGAGAACAAAAGACAGAAGGAGAGGATGATTGAAACATTGTGCAGAATCTATTACTAAAGCCATCGGGGGGATAGATGGACGTACCACTACAAGAGAAGATTGGTAAACAACAAGGGAAGAGACAGAGCATCAAACCTGGAGTCTGGATGGATGAAAAGGGAATTAAAAGCCAGCAATAACTTAAGTAAAAGCATTTAAAAAATGCCCAGCAATCATTCATCTTTTCTACTCTGTGTCTGACCTCAAGCTACACTACGCTTTTGCAGCACAGTCTAGCAGAAAATACATCATGGTGTTTGTACTTGTCTAGAAATCACCCGACCTAGGTGCATGTCAGAACACTAATGTCTGGATGCAGTGGGATATCCCAAAATACTCTTTAGGAATTGAGTAAAATTCTTCTGTGATAATCACTTATCAGAAGATTTCTTCTGTAGCTGTTACATTGAAGAAGTCCCCAAAATAAAACAAACTTGCATTTTTGTTTAAATGATGGTTGTATTTTGCTGTGAAAAACAGGAAAACATTATCACACTGACCCCAGAAAGTTGATTCTGTTCATCAGGACGTAGTGCTTTCGGTATGTTAAACATTTCATCACTCAGCCTCAGCTGGCTGCAGGTTTCCCCAGCCTCATAAATGGTGCAGTTGCATAATGGATACGATTAGCTGTGAGCTCAGCTTCATGATCATTAATATGTAAATTGTCACGACCATCCATGGGCATAAGTATTGTTCTCACAGAGTTAGGGAATGGCTGCAATCACAGCAATGTAACATGGTGTAAGATCTTCTTCGATTCAGGAATGGTCATTCTGTTTTCACATAAATGGCCTCCCTGACTCCTCATTTAAACCAGTGTTCCTTCCCCTCCAGGATGTACACATGCTCATTATTAAACAAGTGGCCACTGGCCTGGAGGTTTAAATAGACCACAGAGTCCCAGCCCACCGTGGTAGCTCTTCTGTAGCTCCCAGAGGTTGTATGGGTTCCCTGATGTATAATTCACGGCCATCCTCCAGGCAACTCTGTTTGTCCCAGGGGACTCGATCCTTGAGGTGGACCAAATTTTGGCGCAGCGTGTTTTGGGGTTTGAAAGCCACCGAGATGCAGTGTTTTTTAAAAAAAAAATGTGTCTCAGCTGTACACCTGACACATAAGGGATCACCAGTGGTTTTTGCCTAGACAGCAATTGTCCTTATTCTCTTTTGGGTTGCCTGGAGCATACTTTAGGTGCCTTCCCAGCTTTGATAAATGTTTAGCTGGATTAGCTACATGAATTCAGGGCCTTTTTTAATATGGCTGCTGTGTCTGTGGGGATGGTGTTTGTGTCCTGATGACACACAGTTGTGTTCCAGTGGATGGTGAGAGTTAAACGGTAAATACTGATGTTTATGCAATGCATTATCTTACAGGTTGAGTTTGTCCCCCATTACTGATGGAAATTTCACAGTCCAAGAATGCTAGCCTGTCATTTTTCATATCTTCTGTGGTGAACTTGATGTGTTTGCTCATAAGTTAATGTGAACCTTGAATTGTGGTACACCCAATCCATAGATTTGATTGTTACCCAGGTGCCATCAACATACCTGAACCGATCACTCGGTGGGGTAACAGAGCCTTTTCCCCACTGTCTCCATATACTGTTAACCACAATGTGTGATACTGGGGAACCCATGGCGCACCCATGTTTTGGTGTGATGTGAGTGCCTTCTTGATGCTGATATTGGACACTGGAGGCTTTGTATAACTGGGACAGGCTAAAGCTTTCATCCACAGTTGCAGTTGTCGCCATCGCTCTACTTTAACATTCGTATCTGCATCTACAGTGTTGTTATTTGTTATATTTGATTCTGTGGCTGTGATCAGTTCTACTAGCATATTTGCCTCTACATGAGAGCAAAGTTCGACCCCTTAGGAATAATGTCTTTCTCTACCTGAGTGAGTTGCTGTCAGACAAATTCTTCACCCACTTGTCCACTACCCCTGTGGCTTGTTGTTAAGGAAACTCTCTACTCTATGCTGATGTTTCTGGTGCCCAACAGCTAGATCCTGCCCGGTCTTACACTTTTCCTTCTGTGCTAAATGACCCTTCCTGGTAAATTTGAGCACCTGTTGAAGAGTAATATAAGTATTTGATGGATCTGTTCCTCTTTCAATTGAACACATCACCTGATCAATGGAGAAATTAGTTAGTCTCACCTGCTCATTTAGCAGCTGACTCTGTGCCTTCTGGAGGACTTTGTTAGCTTGGTGGCCCTTGACAGATGATCTCAGTGTAGACTTTTAGGAGCAATCCCACACTGTCTGCATCTGAGACTGGATCTCAGGTGGTAGCTATAGTCTGCCGTCTTACATGCCGTATGCTCATACTCATGTACCAGCTTTAGGCAGTCCTTGCCAAAGTGAAGCAAAATGTCTTGATACGTGCTCAATCATCCAAGTAAGGAAATCCCAGGAAGTTGATTCTGTTCATCTGGATGTCACGTTTTCAGTGGGAGAAATGTTTCATCACTCGTCTAACTGACTGCTTTAGCCCACTGAAAAATCACCAGTGCTGAGTGATACAAAGCTCACAGTGAAACTCAGGCTTTCCTTTCCGTCTGTTTAATGCAGGCAGTTGCCATCTGTCAAACATCTGCGCTTCATCTGTACCTTCAGCCGGGTGTGTCCAGAATGTTCTGTACAGTCTGAATATTAAAATGTGATTTTTTCAGATTACAGTAAAATGAGTGATTGGTATATATTGCTGTTTAAAAACACTTAAAGAGCTGAAGTCACTGAAGAATAACTATTATTCAGTAACTATACTAACACTAGCAGTTCTTTTAGGCATTATAACATCATATAACATTCTGACAAATTTGCATTGGTTAATTCCCCTTATACATACCAATTCTGATTTGTAATTGCAAACTTTAATAATTATACCAAGCTGCAGGATGTCAGATAGCTAATTACTTGTTTGTAGAATTGCACTTTGTGTTGAATTTTTTATGTAATATATCCTAAGATCTGTAATAAATTCTTCCAGGGGGCAAGGGTTGAAACTGTACCACAGTCAGTTATTTCAGCATTCCTTTTTTTTAATGACAAATCACACAATCATTAGCAAATGAGCCTTAATACAGACTAGAACTAAAAAGCTTTGTGTGACAGAGAAATTCAGATCTACGTAAAGCTGGACAGTCAACTAGATCAAGCTCTCTGTTATTCAGAGGAATTACTCAGATATTCAAAGTGTGGCTTGTAGGAAATTTGGTCTTCACTTTGAAAAACACTCATGCTGAATTGTATTGTTCTCATTCCGATTAACAAGCAAAGAAAATCTATTAATTGGGTAATAAACCTACACTGAGTGGGACGTAATTGAGAAAACAAAAGCAATCAGTCATTTCCACCATAGTGTCAATATTGCACATTATGATTTGTGAGCTTCATGAATAGTATGACAATACGACATTGTGACCAACACAACCCCTGTGGAAATGCTGACTTTTGTTACTATTTCAATGTCACTCCATGACCTCTAATAAAGTAGACATGTTACAGTCTGACTTTTCAATTGATTACAAATCTTGTGTGAGACTGATCAATATTACACCAGCGTGAAGCCCATGACTTGCACAAAATCAATCAAAGGTTTCACAATACAATGTCACAAAGTTTGTAAATCTGAAACAGTGAACAGTGGTAATAAAGGAGCAGCACTGAATGTCCTCGCAACTTCATGAAGTGGTGAGTCATGAAATTACCAAAATGTCTGAGTAAGTTACGTTGCCACTTACTCAGACATTTATGTTGCTGGACAGACAGACATGCATCCTGTCTCAGACATAAATGACAAGCAAGTAATCCACCCGCCAGTCATCCAGCCATTCAGCTGTGCATGAGGGCTGAGAGCTGTTGTGTATTTGTGTAGAGCACAGAGACTATTGGCGAGCTGTCAGTGGCTGTAACACACATCCTGACGTACAGCAGCCCTCTAAGGCCTCCCCTGGAGTCTGTCAGGAAGAAGAAGGGAAAGGAAAGAGTGTGTGTTTCTGTATATATATATATATATGTGTGTGTGTGTGCTTATGTGTGTTTGTGTCCATCCATGTGCGTCTGCGTCTGTCTGAGACTGCAGGAGGTAGAAAGGTGTGGGGGTAGATCAATAATAATCAGCTGCAGTAGAACTGGAAGTTCACTCAACAGTGACTCTCCACACACACACACACACACACACACACACACACACACACACACACAAATGTGTACACAAATACATGCACAGCAGCACTCAAAAACCAATCCATACACCTTGTGACACTGCATTGTAGCCCAAACTATAGTGACAACACTCAAATAAAGGCAACCCACACACACACACACACACACACACACACACACACGCACACACACACACACACACACACACACACACATATATACACACACACTTAGAACTACCTCAAACTAAAACGCTTACTCATACTCTCAAAGTACCACTTCTAAAATGCATGCGTCTAATCTCATTGATTTTCCATACATTTCAGCACCTTCATCTTTCTCTACCTGCTCCACACGCTCAACCTTCACCCTGCACCAATGCCTCTGATTTCTTTACCTCTTCGAAGTGGTCTTGATGATTTCAGAGACTTTCTGCATGTAATCGGTGGCGAGCACCACGATCTCTTCATCTTCTGAAAAGTTGTCATGGAAAATTCTGTCCAGCAAACGTTTCCAATGAAGCTGCAATAACAAGAGGGTGGTTTAGATTGTATGTAATCATACAGTTTAACCTTTTAAGAGACAAAAAATTGGATAAATGGATCATACTATGCATAAATACATAGTATGATCTACGGGACTATTACTATTCCAAATCAACGTAGGCCTGTGTCAGCCACTCAGTCCAGTCAACCTAAACAACCATCTAAATTATTTGTTCCTATTCTTAGAACCTATACTGGTAACTGGATATATGCTGTAGGTAAATGGTTAATGGTAAATATTTAGGTTTAGGCAAAAAGAAGAAAAGAAGTTGCTTGGTGACTGTTTTCAGTTTTCAGTTTTATTTGTCATATGCAAGTTAGCACAGGGTCAACATTGCAATGAAATGTATTTTGGTGGTTACTGAACATTTCCAAGCTGACCAAACTGACGCCCAGTTCAGCAAGCTCCAGACTGAGCAGTACCAAGCAAACAAGGATCACCAACGATGGTGATACACCATCGTTGGTGGAATTTCAAAGGGAATCTGGGCCTTCTGGTGCAGGTAGTGAAGCTAAGATTAAAATGCTTCTCTATCTGTAAACAGTTTCTTTCAAATGAAGTATAACTGTCAAATGCGATCAAGCATCCATCATGAATGTACAGTAAAAGTACAGCAATAAAGTATTGCTCCAACTAAGTGCTTTAAACACTGACTAATGTTTCAAACATGGTGAAACATTGTTAATAAATTTAAGTGTTGTTTTGGGGAATTACTGACCATGTCCAAACCAAACAAATTGAAAAGAGGCCACTTGACTACTTTATAATGGCTAACTGCTAAACTATACCTATGAAAAGTATTCGATTGTCTGCATTCATACACATATAAACTTGAGTGACATCCTTTTCTTAATCCATAGTTATGGAACCCCATTCCATGAAGTTCTCTATGCACTGTTCTTGAGAGAATCTGAAGGCCACATTAGGTTTGGAGGTCTCTAGTCATTGACTCTATAATTTTACATGGCCTACCACTTTGAGTTGCTGTCATTCCCAGTTGCTTCTACTTTATACCACTAACAGTGGTAGGGATTTTCACAACTAGATTTGTTGCACAGGTGGCATCCTATCAGAGTACCACGCTGGAATTCACTGATCTCCTGAGACTGACCCAGTCTTTCACAAATGTTTGCAGAAGCAGTCTGCATGCGTAGGTGCTTGACTTTATACACCTGTGGCCATGGAAGTGATTGGAACACCTGAATTCAATGATTTGGATGGGTGAGTGAATACTTTTGGCAATAAAATATATGAAAAAAAACTTATTTAGTTCATACTAATAGGATGTAAGTTTGGGAAGCCCATACCTAGCACATAACCAAACACCAACACTGAACACAGTTCTCTAAGTAAAACCTAGTCCTGGTCCAATGCTCGGTATACATACCTACCTTCACCTATGGCTGGAAGCTGCGAGTAGTGACTAAAAGAAAAACAGTGCAGATATATACAAACCCTTAGAGGTGGTGTGATGAGCTCAGTGACTTGGAAGGGGCTCAAGGAAGAGCTGCTGCTGCTCTGCATCACACAGAGCCACTTGAGGTGAGGAATCTGACTAGGACACCTCTTAAAGTGAGGTGTTTCAGGCATGTCCAGCTGGGAGCAGACCCCAGTTAGACACCTGGAGAGATTATTTCTCTTGCCTGGCTCAGGAATGCTGTGGTATCCCAGAGGAGCTAGAGGTGGCAGTAGGGCAGAGGGAGGCCTGGCTGTCTTTGCGACCCTTTCTTGGAGTGGTGAAATGAATGGACGTATGGAATTCTAGACTCCATTCACTATTGCAACATCACAGATGAGGTCACTAACCAAAAAGGTTACTGTGGCAACAGATGTAAAACATACATAAAACATGGGGCACTCTGGCGGTCCAGGGATTTAAGATTGTGAAGATAAAATGCAGTATCCCCATCGCCCATCATTCACTTTTTTCTTGCCATCACTATTGTCAGCTGTTGAATAATGTGTAATGTTGCATTGCATGTCTGCAGCAAAACTGAAGAAACATAAGACTGGACTCCAGATCCAGTCAAAAGCAAATATTTTTTTTTACAAAACACTGAAGTGATTTAGCAGCAGCCTCTGATCGAATCTCAAGCCTCTAATATGCTTCTTCCTATGTGTCCCTCTTTTTTCTCCTCAGCATCTCTCACACCACTTTTATCCACATTCAAGTTCAAACTGTGTGTGGAGTTTCTTTCTTTCTTTTTTTTGGCTGAGAAACTAAAACTCAAACTGCTCATCTCCCTCTCAGTATATGTCCAGTTTCCATCTCTCCAGCTTCCCCCTTCAGCCATCCCTCAGCCATGAAACATTGTGAGGATTCTCTGTCACTGTACACGCTGCTTCATAGAAGAGCTTCCTCCTTCTCTTTCTCCATCTTCCCCGCTGTCTCCAGTGTTTTTCCCTTTCCTCTCACCTCCCTCCCTCACTTCAACGCCAAAACACCACCTCGTTTTCTCCTTTTCTTTCTACCTTCTTCTTTCGTTGTGTCCCTCAATCTGCTCGTCTACCCCTGCAGGGGGGACAGCTTTTCTGAGTCACTTAGGCCTCGGTGACTCTACATATATATACATATATATACACATATATATATATACTAATATACATATATATATATACAATATATATACATATACATATATCATATAACATATACATATATACATATACAATATATATACATTATATATATATATATAGTGTACACATATATATATACACATATATATATACATACTATATATATACATATATCAAAAATATATATGACATACATATCACATACAATATATCTATGTATTGATAGGTTTGTAGCTTGAACCTATTCGCTGGAACGTTGAAGACAATATAATTACACAGCAAAAGCATTGAACACCAAGTAGGCAAAGTTCTTCATGTTACTCATGCATGAGGGAGACCTGCCTGGAGTCAAGTGTCGTTCCACCACTTGACCTCCGTCAGACTCTCAGCCAGGTTCCCCATAGCACTCCTTTTATTGTGGTTACATGAATATGCATAGGGTCATTAACATATGACGTCTACATACAAACAAAGAGTACCTTGCCGTGTTGTGTAGTGTGTGTGTGTGTGTGTGTGTGTGTGTGCGCGTGCGTGCGTGTGTGTGTGTGTGTGGGGTCAGAGTGTGACCCTCATAAAGACTTCCCTAAACCTGCTGGTCTGGAAGTCTAGCAGTTCATCTAAACAAAAGGCACTTAGCCTAAAACAGATATAGCCACGTTTATCCTACCATAAAACAATAAGACAAGGTACGACCTCTTCCCATGCTCCCAGAGTGGAATGCACACAAAGTTTGCAGACTATTAAGGATCGAACCTCTACCAATCTAAAACTAATTATAAAACTCTAAGCATATATAAGTAGATATTTCTAAGCATAAATGACAATCAACAATACAAAACCTAACAGTATGTGTTCTGGTTGTACATGCACGTGCACTACTCACGCTGGGAGCAATACGCTGCAGCTGCCTAAGGGTGATGCGGTTATACATGGTGCTGATGTCCTTTCTTTGGTCGTCATATTCTGACACAGTGATCTGGAAAGAGAGGAAATTTTACTCAGCACTGCGCACACACTATGTGAAAAAGAAGACACACAACAACCCAACACAAACACAAAACACACACACACACACACACACACACACCACACACACACCACACACACACACACACACACACACACACACACACACACACACACACACACACACACACACACACAATCAGCTTACATTGGCCAGACGGGTCTCCAGCTGTATAATCTCCGTGGACTTCTGTGTGGCGTTGTGAGCTCCCAGCATGCTCAGCAAGCGCTCCATCAGACCCTTGTATGCCGTCAGGATCTGAGAAGCAGAGTGATATCAGCGCTAATAGACAGGAGGTGCTGCTGAGACATCGTCAATAATGTCTGGAGACGGCGGTGACATGTGGCAAAGTGGACAGCACAACAACATCACAGTGGGTGACAGAGGAAAACAGGTGGATGGATGAAGAAGAGCGAATGAAGAGTCAATAGGGCAGATGGGAGGAGGAGAGAAGGAGGAAAGGACTGAGGGAGAGAAGATGGGGGGAAGAGGGGAAAGAGGAAGGGAGGGTGGCAAAGAGAAGTGGAAAAGAAAGCAAAAGAAAAAGATGATGTAGGAAGGAGAGAAGAGAGAAGCGAGAAGGCAGGCAATGGTTGGGGTCAAACAGGAAGTGAGATGAAATGATGATGAAATTTAGGCCAGTGAAAGGAAGAAGAATCAGGGAAGTAATGAGAGGAAGGGAGAAGGAATGAAGGAGGAAAAGTGGAGGGATACTGGTGGGTGGTAATAGAGGGAGAAAGCTCACCTTTGTACTATCTTCATCCTGGCCCAGATAGAGACTTCTTTCAGGCAGTGTGAGCCCTTCCTGATCAATCTGCACCAACATATGCACACATACAGTCAAAAGCTCAGGAGAGTTTTTATCTGCCATGTAGTCATATGTTTTACTAAGCACCCCACTGGTACATATTCAAAGGGTTGATTAATATTTGATACTCTGAAAAAATGGTAACATTTACAAACCATTCTCCACACTGTATGCTAAACATTAATTATTTATAACATTTAATGAATAATTCACACAGAGTAATTCATCTTTTATTAAACTGCAGATGTTTGACAACTAATATTACTGGGTTTTGTGAAAATCCTATCCAGAAGTTTTGGTTTTAAAAAAACTAAACAAAACTCTCCACACACTTATAGTCTTCTGACTAAAATCTAAACATGTGACCTATGCATGAATCCTGGGTCAAAATAGGGGCTTCCAAAAACTTCAAATAGAATAAAGAATTAGACATTTGAAAGTGAAAATTATAAATTATACTAAAAAAAATATTATTAACCAAAGAAAAGAAAAGAAAAAAGCAGCACTGCTGGAGGCTCTCTGTCTGACAGGTAAAACTGGATTTCTGTTCTATCTACCCCACACTGGGCGCCAAAGTAGAAACAGCTGTTTGCTGTGGGCCGAGATCCAGCTACCTTAAAACACACCATTGGTGAGAAAGAGAGTAGTTTAATCCCTGGCTCTATTAGTTTGCCCTCATGTGTACATAATGTAATATTAAATTGTTTTATTCCATGAGAGTTTTTTTTTAAATAAATAAATAATTTAATATGACTTTGGCCAGTTTCGACAGCACTAATGATAATAATATGTCTGTAAAGAGGCAAGTTCCGCTCTAATTTAGACTTCCATTGGACCTTTTGTGCCATTGTTGCACTGTATTTGGAAAAAACCCCACATTTTTTTAATACCATTAAAAACTCACACAACAAGCATTTTCAAATGGACTGAGTTTTCTCATAAGTTCTCACCCTGATAGCATTCCTTGAGGAGTTTTTGTCATCCACATTGACGGTGAGGGAGAAGAAGACAGCAGTGCTGTACTCTCCCTGCGTCCTATAGAGCAGCTCATTAAAGTCCGGTCTCTGTGGTGCACCCTCCCTTTCCCACCCTGCAGCACCAGGGGGAGCCCCCACCAGGTCCCACCCTCCACAGCTGTCTATTACCTCCATCATGGGGTCAGACCCCAGCTTGTCAATCTCCTGGATGTTGATGCAGGATCGATAGAACTCCTTGACTTTACGCTCTGCTGAGTTGGGCCCACGCCTCCGAATTGGCTCCAGCAGAAGGCGCTGTAGTTTCTCCTCATTATGTTCTCCTATGGCAGTAATGATGCCGTAGCTGAGCTTGTCCTCTGGGATGCCATGGCGCCTCAGCCAACCACCACAGGCGAAGGAATAGAAATCCTGGCATGGCTGGATGGTTGGGTCGATATTGGCCTGAACAAAACGAGCAGCCCGCAGGAGGGAGCGTTTCCGCTGGCAGTCCTGACGGCACTGCATGTCCTGGTGGGCGTCCAGTGAAATGTACTTGAGTGCCAGCATGCTTCCCAGGATGACACACATGCCTGCAGCAAAGACCAGTGCAGAGAGGAGGCAGATTTCCCTCCGGCTCCATCGAGGGAGGCCCCCACTGTTGCCGGTGCTCCCTGGATCTTTGTTTCGACCACCTGACCAGGTCCCTCCCCGACTTCGTCCCATGTGACGGTCCAAGCTGCCCCCCAAATGAAGAGTCATACCATTACTGAGGATATCACTGCTGTAGCGACCGCCATATTTAACTTCCTGGAACTCATCATAGTGGGCTGTTAGTGAGTACGTCTTCTCCATCTTAAAGTAGAGTTTCTAGTCAACAAAGAGAAAGAGGAAGGGATGGAATTGGAGTTATTTTTGTGTTCAGAGTACTTTTATGACCGCTCCTACCGAGGCAGAAGCATAAATACCTTGTATGGGGCAAAACACTCAACTGATGTCAAAATAATCCTGTTGGCCTTCTTTAGGAAAAGTCCCCTTTATTCTTTTTAAATCAAAAGCCAGCAGAGCAAGAGACTTCCATTGTTAACAAGGAATCTCTCGGGTCCCGCTCTCTCTCGCTCATTCTCCTCCCCTCTGCTCCCTTTCCATTTGTTTTCCTCTCCCCGCTCTCTCTCTCTCTCTCCAACCAGTTACAGGTCACCTGTCGATAAAAAGAAAGAAAGAAATGAGACAGAGCAGGGCTGTAAGTCGACAGAAAGATGGGAAATTGAATCCATGATAACAGCCGCACAGGATGACAAAACAGCATCTGTTTTGCCACATTTTCCCCCACTTTGTCTCCGTCTGTTTGTCAGGTAAAGCTGTTGGATTGATTGGTGATAGTCAACCCACAAGGAGACGATGCCCCCCCTCCCAAACGGAATTATGGCTTTGGACAGATCAATGGCGAGTGAGAGCAAAGACTTGAGCATCAGCTGGGCAAAGATAGGTGTGGCAATCACCATAACGTAGCCCATCTCAGTCCGAATTGATGTAAAATTTTACTATATTGCAGATGGGTAGATAAAATGTATTGCCTCTGTTTTGCCGAACGTATATGAGTGGACCATCATAATACACCTGCCAAGAGCAGACCAATGTTTCTGATCATTTTGAAGAAGTAAAACTGAATTGGAAATGCCTTCCTCCTTAATATAGCTGCAGAAATGCAGTTTCCATGTCACTTTTTTACTTACACGCCTGCCAACTCCCTGTTGGTTAATGTAAAACACAAGGTGACAGAAAAACGGAAAATTGAATCTATAAGTACAAAAGCAGAGAATGACAGAAACAGCATCTGCTTCGCAACACTTTCCCCCACTTTGTCTCTGTCGGTTTTTCAGCTAAAGTTGTTGAATTGATTGGTGATGGTAAACGCACAGGGAAACTATGTCCCCCCACCGACTTGTGACACATCAATGGAGAAGACTTGGAACAAAGATTTAAGCATCAGATGGACAAAGATAGGTGAGTCAGTCCAGTTTGACACAAAACATTTATTACTGCAGAAGGACTGAGACAGTTGATCACCTGATGATACACACACATGCCAAGCTGACTTGCTGTGCCAATACGCCAGCAAAGAGTGGACCAGTGTTTCCTGTCATTCTAAGTAAAAGTGAAGGGTATTTTCTTTTAAGGTCTTTTTCTTTCTTAGTGTCACTTCAGATATCATATATGTTTGTGTTGCATCTGCCTTCCTGTTTATGAAAAAAAGGTAGACCCTTTGCAGAGAACTTAAAAGAACACCAAGTTCTCACACGATGAGCAGCTGCATTTGAATTTTAACACAAACACTCATAAAGCTCTTAACATGCATTTCTGTAACACATTAAAATGTATTCTTTTTCACTTTTGGCTATGTTCTACATGTAGCTTTTAAGTTATATCACCGGTCTTTAGAAAGATACACTGACTGATTGTTTTTTGGATGGTGTCCCAATCGGAGCTTGTAAGCGTGCCCAAGTCTGTGTGTGTGTGTGAGAGAGAGTGAGAGTGAGACAGAGGTTGTTTTTTAGTGGCTAGGCACAATGGACCTGCTGAAAGCTGTGAACGGTATCTGTAAATATTGATCCCTGTTATCTCCACTGAGGATAGCAAACTTCAGCACTGATTACTTTAAACAGCTCTCCTTATAAGAATGCTGTATGTAGACAAGAAGAAAAGAAAAAGCAAGAAAAGGAAGAAGGACAAAAAAAATTAAATAAACTATCCATCCATCCATCCATCTTCATCCGCTTTGTCCGGGGCCGGGTCGCGGGGGCAGCAACCTAAGCAAAGAGGCCCAGACCTCCCTCTCCCCAGCCACCTCCTCCAGCTTATCCGGGGGAATGCCAAGGCGTTCCCAGACCAGTCGAGAGATATAATCTCTCCAGCGTGTCCTGGGTCTGCCCCGGGGCCTCCTCCCGGTGGGACATGCCTGGAACACCTCACCCAGGAGGTGCCCAGGGGGCATCCTTGTCAGATGCCCGAACCACCTCAGCTGGCTCCTTTCGATGTGGAGCAGCAGCTGCTCTACTCTGAGCCCCTCCCGGATGGCCGAACTTCTCACCCTATAGGGAGAGGCCAGCCACCCTTCGGAGGAAGCTCATTTCTGCCGCTTGTATCCGCGATCTCGTTCTTTCGGTCACTACCCACAGCTCGTGGCCATAGGTGAGGGCAGGGACGTAGATCGACCAGTAAATTGAGAGCTTCGCTTTTACACTCAGCTCCCTCTTCACCACGACGGACCGGTGCAGCGTCCGCATTACTGCAGCTGCAGCCCCAATCCGTCTGTCGATCTCCGGCTCCCTTCTTCCATCACTCGCGAACAAGACCCCGAGATACTTGAACTCCTCCACTTGGGGCAGGAACTCATCCCCGACCCGGAGTGGGCACTCCACCCTTTTCCGGCTGAGAACCATGGCCTCAGATTTGGAGGTGCTGATCCTCATTCCCGCTGCTTCACACTCGGCTGCGAACCGTTCCAGTGCGAGTTAAATAAACTAAAGAAGGCTTTATAGGTAAACAGGTGTATAGCTTTCCCCATTCTGTGGCAGATGGATGATGAGTTGGTTCAAATGTTGAGTTTTAGTGGGAAAAGGGCAGCCTAAAAAAACCCCAATACTGTAGAAAGTGTGCATGCGCGGTGCAGGGATAACATTATTGTCTATCACTGCAGAGATGTGGACTTTCGGTCTCAGTAATTGCATGTTTGAACAAATACAACCATCTTCATTGGAAGGGTATCTACTCTTAACTTCTGATTATGCCTGCATTCAGGATAACTCTAAATAAAGGTATGATTCATGCTTTGGGACAGTAGCAGGAAGCAGCAAGATATCGGAGCAAGCACCAAATAGCAAAATGGAAAGCAAAGACTAAACAAAGCCTTACATGTGGTCATAGTGTCCACAGTGTCCAGAGTTAAGGGTTAATTTATTTGGAGTCATATTTTGGAACTTTTGTCCAGTACTCTCTTTTAGCATTGTTTTTCTGTACCAACTCATGAGGAAAATATCTGGCTACACTCCTCTGTCTACTGACTGGTGACGACAAAAGCCTGTGATTGGTTTTACACATTGTTTTGAAAAATGTTTACTGGGATGGTCTAAAGTCGACATTGTACTTTATCAGAAATGTTCAATAGGTGAATATCCTCCTGTCCAGCATTTTTCTGTCTAACAATTTTTGCACAAGTGTACATCCACTTCACATTGATGCTGAAAAGCTGTGAAAAATGAAGCAGAGTTGTTGCGCGTCATTCGCCCAATGATATCTCTCGTTACGATTGACAGCGTTTTTCTTTTGCCTTTGAGTGTGGCTGTGAACACTTCCTATTTTATAACTGCTTTACCTGCAGCACAGCCTGACTCTGAAAGCTTGTATGTAAGGTTGGTGGCTGGTCTGACGTGCATGATGGTAAATAAATGTTTTTTTTACATTTTTTAAAATCATAAATGTTTTGGTTTTCTAACAATTTAATAATTATGATTCATTTCATGTGTATGTGCCTTTCAAACATCTCAAGGTAAACTTGTATACGTACAGCATTTAAAGCCATATATACAATTATAATAACCAAATAAATAAAATCACAAAGCAAAATTATTTTAAAAAAAAACTGATCACAGTAACAAAGGCCATGCTACAATGAAGGCTATGCAAGTCTGAAGAGGTTCTGAGATGAGATTTAAAAATAGAGGCAGTTTATGGTTTGGAGATCTGGAAGAAGTGTGTTTCAAATCTTGGGGCAGAGCAACTAAAGGCTCTAAGTCTCATGGCAGTCAGATGCAGCAGAAGGAACAGACAAAAGAGAAGCTGAAGAGGACCAGAGTGTGCTAGAGAGTAAGTATTAGCAAGATCAGATAAGTATAGAGGAGTAAGGTTTTGAAGGGCTTTGAAAGTGAGAAGGAGGATCTTGAAGTTAATGTGTAGGTGAACTGGAAGCCAATGGAGCTGTTTAAGAACAGACGTTATGTGTTCAGTGACTCTGGTTCGGGATATAATGTGGGCGGCTGAATTCTGAACCAACTGCAGTTTATGGAGAGATTCATGAGAAAGACTGTGGAGAAGAGAATTACAGTAACCAGGATGAGATGTGACAAGAGCATTGACAGGTATGGCTGTGGAGAATAAGTCATCCTGTGAAGATGAAGGTAGGCAGACCAGGTGATATTGTTTATGTGCCGTGATGGAAAGACTACTGTCAAGGATGATACCCAAACTCTTAACCCGAGAGGAAGGTATGACAACAGAGGTATCAATAGACATTTAAAAAAGTTATAAGACTTAGACGGTGCAAAATTGGTGTTCAGTTTTATTACCATTAAGTTTAAGAAAATTGTGTGTAAACCAAACTTTACTTGCATTTAAATGTTCAGAAATGGATGTAGATGGGTGAGCAGGAGTGGGAAGAGAAATAGAGCTGTGTGTCATCTGCATAACAGTGAAATTGAATCTAATATTTCCAGAAAATATTACTAAGGTAAAGATGACCCCTAAAGCTTGTCTGGGGGCTGGAGGGGATATCATCAACCTCTCAGCCTTTACATCTTTGTAGTGCAGCGCAAAGCTGGCAGGTGGTTAGTGCAGTGCACAGAGATGTGAACAAACTAAAGTGAGCTGAAAGAGGAGAAAAAACAGGGTGAAAGTGAAAGCCAAGTATTGTGTGTCTCTGTGCAGTGTCACTATCAATGTAACTTATCATCCATCAACCTTCTGCTTTGTCACACACACACACACGCACACCATAAACATGCTGGATCTATAAAACTGTAACTGATCACTATTACCCTCTTGCACTTCATGCACATAATTTATTATAATGTAAATAAAATCAAATTATTGTTAAAATTATACACCACACAATCTCCTCCTGCAAGTTCTCCCCTTCTCTCTTTCAGCTACAGACACAAACACACATACACATCTTCTTTGTGTCACAATTCCTTACGCGTTATAATAAATTATGACACACACACTCACATGTGCACACACACCATCACACACTGAGTGGACATCCAGCTTATGGCTAATGGATTGGATCTTGCGGGTACCATCGCAGAGAAAGGCATGTGTGATAAATGGCTATTTATCGAACATGACAGGGCCTAATATCTGAGAGGTATACTAACGCAGCAGCAGACACACACACACACAAACACCCTTTCTTTTTCCTCACTCACACACTTTCCATCCACGTAACAAAAGCACACCCATGCAGATGCATAGCACCATGTCACTGGTCAAATATTTCCCTTAAATCTTATGAGGAAAATATAGCCTTTTGTTTTCTGATAGCTGTGGTTCTCTAAGAGTGATCTGGTACCATTTCTAGTACTGGGATCTTACTTAAGGGGACATTAAGCTAACACATTGCCGTGGCACGCTTATTCTGTCAGAACTACTATAGTTCTAGTTTTCAAAATTTGCCAAACAGCTATTTCTACAACTTTCTATAAAACACTCATTTCAGACAGTTTTTACTTCACTTGGACCTTTATGACATCACAGAGAGAGGTTTTTCTTAATATGGCCATCTAAGGCACACAGCTCTAACTACGAGCACAGAAGTCACACCCACCTGCCTTCCAACTCTTAGCTTCAAGATAGAGGGGATAAAATTCAATTCAATTCAGTTTTTGTAAAGAGCCAAATCACAGCAAATCACAGCCTCCCATTCTACTTTTAAATATCTTAGGAACCACAAGTAAACCAGCAGTCTGAGAAATGGCGTGTTTCAGAGAGTAGATGAACTGTGGGGATGTACCAAGGCCCAGTATGAAATTGCTGAAGATTAATCTGAACTTTAATTCAATCTAGTTCCATTTAGGTAACAGCATTCGTCCCAAGGCACTTCATAATATAAAGTAAAGACGATACATTAAAGAGAGCACATCAACTATCTTGTTGTCCTCTAGAAGCATGCACTTTGCAGTGGTGGGGATGAAGAAATCCCTTTTTGAGGCTAAGGTTGGGGCAGCGACCTACTGTAACTGACTGGAAACTGAGGGGCCAAAAAAGGCCAAAAAAAAAAAAAGCACGTCTTTTATAAGAAAGGACAGAATCTTGCAATTCTAACAGTCCAGGAATAAAACCATGGTGTTTAAATCGAGCATAATAGGTCTGTTTTAAGTGTCTATTCCTTCTTTTTGAGGGTGATTTGAGCCAGCTGTGAACACATTTGATTTCCACTGTGTCCAGACAACATGCTGTACAAACTAACTCTGACTGAGTATATCCCGGCGCTTAGGTGGATCCGTTTCTGATTCCAGGTTTTGCTGGTAAGAAAGATGCTTCAGTGATGTGTGCACAAAAAACTGCTTTTGTATAGGTGCTAGTGTTTACATATGAAACTGCGGTTCCATGAATGCCCTCATGGGTGAACTGTCAGGACCACGGAGCCAATTTTAAAGTTATGAAGTTGTCCTTTAAGCAAACTGCAGACTCAGAAGGTTGCATGGACCTTCCCATTGCTTTTCTCACCGCTAATAATAAATCCTTGAGAGGAGCTCAATGCATAATCAATAAGCAGAGGCCTCCAATCATATCAGGGTCAGGTTCACACCACTGTAGATGGATCAAAGTACTACTGGGCTTGGAATGTGGAGTTACTGGTGTGAGTTAACTGATTTCAGTAAAGTGGACAGGCAATTTTACTGGTGTAGATTTATTTACTCCTCATTTCCTAAAACGAGCATATCAAATGCTCATTGTGTATCAGCATGAGCTGTACTAACACATCAACAGATCTAAAGTGTTCCCCGTGGTCTAAGGAGGCAGACAGATTTGCTGCTAGCGAGATGGAATGTCACCTGGGGCAAACATTGGCTGGCATCAGAGCTGCGAAGTTGCTTAAACGATTGCTAGGAAGACCATCAAGATTAAAACCATAAATACCAGCTCTGCCAGTGTTATGCATTCACCCATTAAAAATGGCAGCAAAATAGTGACCCCACCAACAAATACATAAAGAGCTACACCCTCATATTCATTTCCTAGCTGAAAACTTTTTTTTGGCACAGGATTTTGAGATACTGTACTTGTCTTCCACAAAACTAAACCATACTCCGGATGCTGCTTTTTACCCACCTTGCCTTCATATTAATACAAATTGACACAGAGCAAACTTCCTGCCGCACCTTCACTGTAATTTGTGAGGATATTTAGTGTTGCCCAGAAATAACAGCTTAGCGGCACCCTCTCCCCTCCCCGCCACTTTTATCTCTGCTCGGGAAAGTTACGTCACCTGAAAGCATTCTATAAATGGACTTATTATCCCTTAATCAAAGTGGTCACAGAGCCTGCCCCAAAAGCTTCACGGTGCTCTGAAGGTTCAGCGTGGAAGCCAGCCTTATCGCCGGTCGCCAGAGGCAAGGGTATAGTGCTGCGGTGCGTTTGTATGGGCTACAGATTTGGACACACAGCTCAAGGGTCCTGCAGTGTAACGGGACTTAGACATGTACCCAAGCAAAGCCTCCTTTGTGCTGCTTTTAAAAACTATGTGTGTTGTGTATCCGGAGTAAATGTCCCACATCAGACTTACTGGAGAACTTTTTTTTTTTTAAGGAACACACTGGGCTCCTTATTCTTATTTTATTATTAAAACAGATGAGTTTGAGTCATCCTGAAGAAAAATTAAGTAGCCCCCACCCCACCCCCTGCTCTCTCTCTCTCTCTCTCTCTCTCACATACACATTGGCAGGAATGAAGTGCTCACATACTGTAACTCTATTATCTTTAATGAGTCCCCAGGCTCTCCTTTTCCAGCACTGTGCCAAACTACAGTTCAAACATCAGGATTATTACAGTTTTAATTTGATCTGCTTTATTTTATTAGTTAGGCAGTTTTGGTGGATTTCGCTGAAAAGAACCAAGAACCAATATTTTTAAAGAATTAAACTACAATAAATAAACAAATAAATTAAATCGTGCTTCATGGTGCCAGATTTTCATTATAGAAAAACGATTTTTTTAAATGGTTTTTATGATTTTAGATGGAAAATTCTGACCAGAGCAGAGCAGTTTCTCTCATGTATAGACCTCTGTCTGCAGGGTGGCTGTTGGCACAGAGGCGCTAATTCACAAATAAAACTTTCTGGCGCTGCGAAAAGTGAGTAAAAAGTGCGTAAAGACGCAGAATGAACTGCTGTGAGTGCGCGAGGAGAACGCATACACATGTCATTTATTCCCAAGTTTATTCCTTAGTAAGTTTGTGCACGTTATTAATTTCAGCCGGATACACGGGGTGCATTTAGAGCCAGCGAGGCACACCGACCTGTCGGACCAGCGCACGTCGTTCGACCGGAAAAGAACGCACTCAGTCAGCAGCCAATTAAAGTCTCTTCCACGCGCAGCATCTCGCGCATCAATTTCTCTCTTTTTACTTTTGCCCACCAAAACTTCTGGCCACGTTCGCACAGACACACCGCGAACTAGGAGCACACGTGCATGGCGAAAGCGCAGACTTCTCACTGAAAGGGTGTCTTACTTGAACGTGATTCCCAAGTCAATCTGTGGCACTTTCCCGCCCTATCCTCGCTCTCCGTAATTCAGAAAACACACAAAATGATCAGATTTTGAATCATAAGAACCACCCCGCCCCCTGGTCCCAGCCTGCCGTCACATATACCTACGGTGCGCCCTGGCTGGCTCTCTGAGGGAGGAGCAGTTTCAGAACGCTCATTAGAGGTGTGGATATCCGCAGACTGATGGAAACTTGTGCAAGAAAAGATCTTACCTGTGGTGAGTCAATTAAAATCCCTGCTGGGAGTTAAAAAAAAAACGCTACTGCATGTGTGTGTGTGAAGGGAAGAGATCCACTCCTCTGAAGGATCTGGCTAGATTATCCGACTCCCCCCCCCCCAACTCCTCCTCCGGACATCGGCACACACCGGGATCCGCACCGCGTTCTGCTGCCGCTGCAGCTCACAGCCTCCGATGTATGAAAGAGAGAGAGAGAGAGAGAGAGAGAGAGAGGAGAGAGAGAAGAGAAAGAGGAGGGGGTCCATTAACGAGAAAAGGTCCACACAGACACACACATCAACACTTAGGCACAAACAGATGTTCCTCCTTTAGTCCACTTAACATTTTCTCTAATTGGCGCTACTTTTAAATAATCACTACTCCGGTGAGTGATTATAAAACCAGAAGCACACTCGGTACATTTTCATGCTGGTGCAAATGCTTTAACTTAATATACTGGCTCAGTAATTACCGTTAATTCTGATCTCTTATGTAAGAAGATGGACTTTTGAGACTCAGTGAGCGTCACAAAATTCTCATTTCATTAGAAAAAGCAGCCACTGCTGACTCATGCAGTAGCGCGCAGTTCCACGCACATTAAAATCACCTGAAACCTGCTCAAAACAACATCAGACCTCCCGTTCACTTTGCTGTAATATTAATCGCTTTTCAACTTTCCCTCACACAGCGTTGAAGGAGTTTTCAATTAAAATCGCCGATTCTACCAGCCCAGAGAGGGAACATCAGCTCATTCCCAAATGAGGGAGCCTATTCCACTGATTGATACCATCAGGCTGAGCGGAGCCTCCAAGTCTATTTGAATAAATCTTGTGGTCTAAACAACCACTAAAACCATGAGCTACAGAAACATTCATCTCCACGTGGCCTCAAAGTCACACTAACCAAAGTAATCAAACCAAAAGCTCCACTAATATTATAATGTAAATCAGCTGAGTAACTGAGTGTCCGGTTCACTTGCAGTGATTGTTCAGCGAGAGGAAGGGAGGCGCACTGGTTTATGGTTGATTTTGGAGATTGGAACCCTAATTTCATTATTTTGTCCCTGACTTATAAACCCAGGAGAAAATTCTCAATATATTTTAATAATGAGCAAAAACAGTATTAAAAAATTGCTTTGACTCTAAATATGATATAGTTTCAATGTGAATTAAAAATGACACCAAAGCAGAGGAGTTTATGTTTAGAAGTTTAGAATTGCTACTGAAGTCAAAGGTAAATGAACAGATTTACATTTGCCAATGGAGGGAAAGGCCAAACAGTCAGAGAAATCCAAAAGGCTTAAGCAGGAAAGCCCTAAAAACAACAGAGGGCAGAAAGCCAGTTTATAGAACAGCATGAATCGAAATTGCTGTTTTATTATTTATTATTTATTATTAATTGTTAATGAGAGCCAAGTGTGCCAATAGTGGAAACTCTGAAAGCATCTGCTGAGCAGGTGTGGGATGACAAATCCTGGAAAGACTGATTTTTGATTAGTGGCAGATTTAAAGGTGCACCAATCAATTTTCTTTCATTCAGACACTTTGTAAGTAACACTCAGATTATGCAATAAGATAAGCATTACTTACATACACAGTCAGCAGTGAAGTCCCAGTTTGATTCCCTTTTTGCTGAACCTTTTGCCTTTTGCACCACTCTACACTCCCCTCACCACCAGCCAGTCATGGCAGATGGCTGTTCAACCCTGAGTGGTTCTGCTGGAGGTTTCTTCCTGTTTTCTTCCTGGAGTTTTTCCTTGCCACTGTCACCAAGTGCTTGGTCATAGGGGGTCGTTTGATTGTTGGGTTTTCTCTGCATTGTTGGGGCTTTACTTTACAGTATAAAGTACCTATAAAGACTGCTGTTGTGATTTGATGCTTTACAAATAAAATTGAATAGTTGCTTGTTAAGTGATGACAATTCATGTACGTAAAAGAAGTTGTCTTTTTTATGGTCTGCAAAGCTTTATCTCTTGTTTTTTCAACAGACATGAGCGTAGCAAAATTATTTAGTCTCTTAATTGTTGTGTGTGTGTTTTTTTGTTTTTTTTTAGCACAATTCATATTTTTTGCATTACCCATTTAATAACATGTAATCACTGACCTTGGATGAAGATTTCTCAAGTTTTGTCTGTTTCTTTGTACTCTAATATGCTAGCAATTGGGGTACATCAGTATATTTCTAATCTTCCTCCTTCATCTTCTTGGTGCTAATGTGTTTACATTAGTCGGCCATGAGGTAGCTGACTATCAGATGTCAACTAGCAAACTTCATTAATCCTAAAAACATCACGAGCATTTAGTTGCCAGTGATGTGCCAAGGGATAGCCTTCATATAAATGTTAATTTATGGTGACAAATTGACAAAAAACTATCCTTTCATCTCCCTCTTTGTAATATTTTTGTAATATTATTTTCTATATTATTGTAATATTTAATTAAAGTCATTTTGGTTTTATGGCTCTGAACGTTATTGTTTTGATTAACCTTCAGTACCATGTCTTGAACTTTAAACCAGTGGAAGTATACTAGTGAGCAGTAGGGGAGATGGCCAGTAGGTGTTGGGCTACTGAGTCATTTCATTTTTCCTTGTCTGCTTATGATACCATTATTCAAATTCACTCTTATAGCAATCAAGTAGTTAATAGGTCTGAAAGGCAGGTATGTTTGGGTATGTGTCTGGCTTGATTGCAATTCCTGATCTGGAGTGATTAACAAGCTGTTCTAGTGAGTCAGACTAGGAGGGCCATTTACAATTTGAGTCACAGCAGTATAATAAAGTTGAGCAATGACAGTTGTTTCTTTATTTTTAATCAAAAAATGTACAATTTTAAAGCACTTTAGATACATTTTGAGACTTGAGTAGGACATGTACGATGCACCTACATATGATACCTTGCACTTGCCTATGTGCTGATCAAGTTTCAGCCTCTCCTCAAGCCTGAAAAGATGGCACCGACTATTCACTGTGACCTTGACTCATAGTCTGTGGCTTTGGTTAATTCTCTTATCTAGAGCAGGCATTTCCTTTGAAAAGACTTTGATAAAGCCACTGTACCCTACCCAGCAACAGGAAAGCAGAAAAACGCTAGTGTAAGTTAGCTGCTCCACCAGTTCTGATGAACAGACTTAAAAGAGAGAATACAAGACAGATGGCCATGAATAAAATGTGCTAAATTTATACATATTTGAACCTGTTTTCCCAGGGTGTCAAGAATTGAATCTTTGAGGAAACATCAGGCATCTCTAAGATATACTTTAGGTGTCCAGTATTTAACCTGACAGGTTAAATACTGGACACGGAAAACACTGAATAAATCAACATTAAGGAGGCAGTGTGAGAGGGGTGGCTGCCAATAAGAAGACCAAGGTACTCTTTCCAGATGTTTTGCACTATGTATGTACCCAAACACATTAGCACATAATAAAGCAAAATGACTTTAAAGCTTACATAATATTTTGAAATGAGAGAGCAAAAAGACTTTGACAAGCAAGAACCTAACAAGTGGAAATCGCCTTAACAAGGTGACAATGTTGTTAAACTACCCCGTAGTGGCTAAAAGAACAATTATTGTAGCTTTAAAGGTGACTCATTTTGCTTACTTGTAGCTCCATGTTTTAATTTTGGACTCTCCTAGAGTAGCTTTGCATTATTCAAAGCTTCTTTCTTTTGGAGCCTGCCTTTCTTTATTCTGATTGGCTGTGCCTTGTAGGAATAAAAAGCTTTAAAAAGCAAGTGGGTTGTCTGTGCTGTCTAAGATGACCCCCTTGTTGACATCATATAGTACCAAGAGTAGAAAAAACTGCCTTAAACAAGGGAGCTTTTAAACTCATAGGATTAACAGCACTTAAAATTTCAGCCATATAGAAATTTTGGTTTATTATGAAACACCACTTATAGGATTATTACATACATAACACAGTGATGAGGCAAAACATTATGACAACTGACAGGTGAAGTATGTATCACTGATTATCTTTATTGTGGAACCTGTTAAGGAGCAAGTGAACAGTTTATTCTCAAAGTTGATGTTAGAGGCAGGAACGAAGGACAACGGTAAGGATTTGAGCGAGTTAGACATGGACCAAACTGTGATAGCTAGACGACTGGGTAAGAGCATCTCCAAAACTGCAGTGGTCAGCATGTATCAAAAGTGGTCCAAAGAAGGAACAGTGATGAACCAGTGGCAGGGTCATGGGAGTCTAAGGCTCATTGATGCACATGCGGAGTGACCAACCAACTGACAAGCTACTGTAGCTCAAACTTAACAAAGTTAATGCTGGTTCTGATAGGAAAGTGTCAGAATACACACAGTACTTTGCAATTTGCATCATATGAATCTGCATAGCTACAGACCAGTCAGGGTGCCCATGCTGACCCTTATCTACCACCAAAAGCACCACCAATGGGCACGGCATCAGAACTGGACCACAAAGCAATGGCAGAAGGTAGCCTGGTCTGATGAACCATCTTCATCAGATTGTGTGTGTATATATATATATATATATATATTTCAAATATGTGCGTGTGTATATGTTTGGAGCTGGCTAATTACAGATGACTGACTGCATGTTCACTTAATGTGAGATGCTGATACTGAGCTAATTAGTTTCTATAATATTTTAACATTTGCAGAAACGACACAGACATTCCCTGATGCTTTGCCTACATTTTCATTTACCTTAATTGCTAATCACTTTGTACACAGTGCGTCCCTCCTTGCTCTTATTGATGCAATTTTCTAATTTAGATTACTTTTAGCTCGAGGCCATTTTATCCCACCGTCCCCACCAGTTCCCGTGCACATTTCAATACCAGGTAACAACAGTGAGGGAAACGAGGCAAACTGGCCTATAATTCGGCTTAGTGAAGCAGTGGATTTGGGTTCAGCTGTCGGCCCAGAAGCAGAACACTTGGCAAAATTATGCCACAACACTCGCGGCCTACAGACCCAGAATTATAACAAGTGCCCCAGTAGACTAGAGAGGAAGGGAGGTAGTGCAGTGCAGCCGGGGGACACTGATGATGAGCAGATGAGCTGGGATCAGTGTCAGGAGTCTGAGGAGGAGAGGGGAGGGTGTGTGTGTGTGGATGAGCGGCGTTCTGGTCCCTCAGCACTTTGATTCAACCTCATTTTATATTAGGGTGTTATTTACACACCTGCTGCCACGGGGATAGGCAAGAAA